AATTCTGTGAAATCGGATATACTACTCGGCTCGCATACTGATTTTAGCGTACTATATAGTATGGAAGTATACGATTTCAGATTTCAGTTTTGATGGTGTTCCTGGTACCTTTCTTAATTTTTAACCTTTCAAAAAATAGTTGTCTATGGAGAGCTTTAGGATGTCACCAAAAATAGTTTGTGTTCCAAAAAATGAACACTGGTCTTATGGATTTGTAATGACATGAGGCCGAATAATTAATGATTATTTTTTGTGCGCATGCACTATCCTTTTAAAGATGGTTTAAAATCTATAATCTTGGCTTCCTCACTGATGTCATTCAGTAACTGGCTTTTGAACCCTTGTTCTTTCAGATACAGATAGCATTACTGATTTCCATCTGATATTCCCAAGCAAGTGATTTCTGATATTTCAGCATCTGCACATGATCATGGATGACAAACGACACTTCATGACAAGCCAGTCCAGTCACTGTCTGAGTCGTGTGCCAGTAGTTGCTCTTTTTGCTCTTTCCTCCTCAATTCCCTGTTGAAGTAAGCGATCCAAAGGGTGATGACAGCCTCCCCATGGCTGCAATGCATCAGGCGGAGGACGGAGGCGGCTTTTCTGTTGCAAAGCTCATTTATTAGCTGTTGCTCCCTGTCATGGATTGGACATGTAGGGACACAGAGACTCCCCGAGCTCTGATTACTCTGGGAAGAAAAGCGAGTGGATCCATCTGTGTGGCCTTCTTCTCCTCAGACTCCACGCCAAAATCTCTACAGCACAGCGTAACTCGACCAGCCGAGCACGTGTTTATCAAACAAAAGATGCAGTTCTGCTCCGGTGTCTTGGCTGATGAAAAGACAACGACATGATGGAGATCCGCCTTTTAGTTTTTTTGTTGTTCTTTTTGAATGCCTTGTTTTACATTCGTGCCCTGCAGCAAAGGTACAAGACAATGCGGCAATCTGTATGTCTCACCGGAAAGTGTTACATTGTTTAAACCATAATTTAGCAGCTTGAATGCGTGTGAATGCTATGATTACTGGTGCAATTGGTTTGGTTATGATGTACTCCATAATGAGGAGGACATGCAGTATTGTTCAAAATAATAGCAATACAATGTGACCAACCAGAATTATTTAGGTTTTTAGTATACAGTATTCTTTAATTGATACATGCAAAAAAGTTACCAGTAGGCACAGTAGATTATCAGAAAACAAACAAGACCCAGCATTCCTGACATGCAAGCTTTAAAGGCTGTGCAATTGGGCAACTATTTGAAGGGCCTTTGTTAAAAAAATAGCAGTGTCTGCCATTTACTCAAAACTATGTTGTACAAATATTTGTGTTTTTAGGATTTTGACATCCTGTGAATAACAAATATTTAGTTTTTTTTGTATACCTGCTTCACATCTGTGTGGCATGGAGTCAACCAACTCGTGTCACTTTTCAGCTGTTATTCCACTCCATGATTCTTTAACAACATTCCACAATTCATCTACATTTCATTTACATTACATTTTTGATGTCACCCCACAAGTATTCAATTGGATTAAGGTCCAGGGATTGGGCTGGCCACTCCATAACATTAATTTTGTTGGTTTGGAACCAAAACTTTGTTCATTTACTAATGTTTTTGGGGTCATTGTCTTGTTGAAACAACCATTTCAAGGGCATGTCTTCTTCAGCATAAGGCAGCATGACCTCTTTAAGTATTTTGACATATGCAAACTGATCCATGATCCCTGGTATGGGATTAATAGGGCCAACACCATAGTAGGAGAAACATGCCCATATCATGATGTTTGCACCACCATGCTTCACTGTCTTCACTGTGTACTGTGGCTTGAATTCAGATTTTGGGGGTTGTCTCACAAACTGTCTGTGACCCTGGGACCCAAAAAGGACAATTTTACTCTCATCAATCCACAAAATGTTCCTCCATTCCTCTTTAGGCCAGTTGATGTGTTCTTTGGCAAATTGTAACCTCTTCTGCACATGCCTTTATTTTTTTAACCGAGGGACTTTGCGGGAGATTCTTGAAATAGATTAGCTTCACACAGACGTCTTCTAACTGTCACCGTACTTACAGGTAGCTGCCTTTGATCATCCTGGAGGTGATCATTGGCTAAGCCTTTGCCATTCTGGTTATTCATCAATCCTTGTTGATGGTTGTCTTCCGTTTTCTTCCACGTCTCTCTGGTTTTTCCCTTCATTTTAAATGCATTGGAGATCATTTTAGCTAAACAGCCTATATATTTTTCCACCTCTTTATAGGTTTTCCCCTCTCCAATCAACTTTTTAATCAAAGTACGCTGTTCATCCGAACAATGTCCTGAATGACCCATTTGCCTCAGGCTTTCAAATGCATGTTCAGCAAGTGTAATCTTCATCCTTAAATAGAGGCCACCTGATTCACACCTGTTATTTTCATAAAATTGATGACCTCACTGATTTTGAATGCCAAACTGCTATTTTTTTAACACACCCCTTTCAACTAGTTGCCTAATTGCACAGCCTTAAAATCTTGCATATCATGAATGCTGGGTCTTTCTCATAGTCTACTGCACCTACTGGTAACTTGTTTGCCATGTATTAATAAGAAATATTCTAAAAACCTGGATTATTCTGGTTAGTCACGTTGTACTGCTATTAGTTTGAACAATACTGTAAATTACAACAAAATTTGTTTTACAAAAATGACTATTTTGTGCTGGGGCACCAGTATAACCAGTAAAACCAGAACTTGGCCAACTGAAAGCATCCTTACTAAGATCTCTGTAATTTCCCCTAATGATTTCCTGTAATCTCTAATCTGTTATTAAGCAACAACATATAAAGATCAAACTAATTATGCATGTAATTAAGCTAAAGGAGTGTGGTATATTCACAATAAAGCACCTATTGCGAACGAAACTGGAAATATCAGTTTTAAAAGCTGCAAAAGGGCAAAAATGACTGTATCACATTCATTGACCTGATGATTATGATAATGATGGTGATTACGGTTGTTGGACTCCAGTGTGTGTGTGTGGGTTATCTGGATGAAATTGTTTGGACTGGTTCAAGAAAGCGTGAGAGATCATTAGAAGTGGGTGGAGGTTTAAGAGGGCGGATTGATTTTTTGGGAAGGAATGTCATTGGGAAGACAGACTGGTTAGCTGGTTATGGTCTAATTGGGGGGTATGATGGTGAGAACCTTTAGAAAACCCAGAGAAGGTCAGAGATTAAAGAGAAAGCCTTACCTCTTTGTAATGTGGCAGATTCTCTCTTTCTCAGATTCTAGCTTAAGATCCACAAATGTACCTGATACACTCTTGGTTCTTTTAACCCAAATTTGGGTTAATTATGGTCAATTTTTTTCATTGATATTATACCCAAATTTAGGTTAAAACATTCCAGGATTATAATTTTTTTGAGTGTATGAAACAGCAAGCAGCTTCTCATAGCTGTATTCTGAGATCCAGTGCCTATCAGGGAATCGGGCCTCTGAAGAAGCTTTTAAGAAGCACCATAAATTAGACAGCTCCCAGGGGCTCCTTTTAATTATGCAGGCCAGCGCATCGCCCTGTTGGTGTGGCTCGTGTAATTTTGCTCTGGCTGACGTGCTATTTGCAGAGTCACGGCTTGATGACATGCTGGCACGCTGCCCTTGATATGCTGTGGCAAGGCGGGGCGTGGGAGGATTGGTGTGGTGGTATTGCTTGACCCCTCTTTCCCCTCCAGCCGACTCAGGAGATCTTCTTCAATTGCCAGACTAGATTGTTTGGATTACTCCTACACTACTGACCTTTTAAGGCTTTTTGTGTTGCTGATGATTTTATTTTACAATCCTGCCAAAAAAATAATCCTGCCCTTTGAGATTTTGCTTAAAATGAGACTGTTTCATGTTAATTATTTGTAATATAAATCAAGTCATTTTATGCTAATATTTTTATTATTATTGCTGACAAATTACAGATTGTATCCCAATAATGATGCTAACAAGGATTTTTTAAAGATTATGTAAAAAATTACTCACCATCCTTCAGCTTAGTCCCTGATTTATTAGGGGTTGCCACAGTGGAATTAACAGCCAATTACCCTGGCATATGTTTTATGCCCTTCCAGTCTCAACCCATCACTGGCAAAACAATCATACACTCTCTCGTTCACTCACACACTCATACACTTCGGCCAATTTTATTTACCCAGTTCACCTATACCGCATGTCGACTGTGGGGGAAACTGGAGCCAAGTTGTAATCGTTTAAATTTAGATTTTGTGTTGATCTTGCTGAAAATTGTGCATGTTGATGGTTAAAAAGTCTGTATGGCAAGTTATTGTTTATTTTACAAATGTTTTAATTATTTTCCCAAAAGTTATACTACTAATAGCTGAAGCGGAAATCTTTTGATTTTAAAGAATGGTTTTTATGCTAAATTCTTGCAAAATGTGTGCTCAGATTTTTCGCAAATAATTATTTAGGTCTTCGTGAAAATGAGCAATAATGTTATGGCATCAATGGTGTCAATCGATTGTTTGCTAGGCAAACTTTAATGCTAATAATGCATCTATTTCTATTGTGCCCTTATCAAACACAACATTTTACACTTATGATTTTTCTGCAAAATTTTTGTTGAACTTGCTAACAAAATATGTCCACTCCTTCTCAGACAATATGGCAAATAAAAGCATAGCTTTTGCTGTAACGCTGTCTTTTTGGATGCCTAGATGTTCTGCTTTCCTTTCTTCTGTGAAGGGGTCATGATGAGGTAATTCCTCATTCCGGATGTCATCACGTCTTTGGAGTTCAATGCAGCCCTAAAAACTCTCACATCCCACACTCCCTGGCTCAACATGCATGTCAGAAGAAGCTGCACTGGAATATCTCACTCCCCTTAAGAGCTTCACAAAACATCAAAATGTCTTAATTCCTCTCTGATGCTGATCCCCTCCCCCAGCTTCCAGTCTTCTGCAGATGATGATGTTTTTTCTATTCTCCTGATTGACATCTCTCTTTCGTTTCTTTACAGGGTGCAGGATAGATGATTGTGAGGCCTGCTTCAGCAAAGACTTCTGCACAAAGTGCAAGCTTGGTTTTTACTTGCACAAGGGTCGTTGCTTTGAAAAGTGTCCGGAGGGCTTTGCTCCCCTAGAAGACACCATGGAGTGTGGAGGTAAGAAAACTTTTGTCATTCCAAGATTACTATGAAATCCAGATAAAGCTGGTAACCTTTCTGCTACATACAGTTGAAGCCAGAATCATTAGCCCCCTGAATTATTAGACAGGTTATTGTATAACGATGGTTTGTTCTGTAGACTTTTGAAAATATATATAACTTAAAGGGGCTAATAATTTTGACGTTTAAATGTTTTTTTTTTTTTAATTTCAATCTTATTTTAATCCAGCCAAAATAAAACAAATAAGACTTTATCCAGAAGAAAACAATAAAGCTTAAAGGAGCTAATAATTTTGACCTTAAAATGGTGTTTAAAAAAGTTAAAAACTGCTTTTATTCTAGCCAAAATAAAACAAATACGACTTTCCCAAGAAGAAAAAAATATTATCAGACATACTGTGAAAATCTCTTTGCTCTGTTAAACATCATTTGGGAAATACTTAAAAAATAAAATTCACTCGGGGGGCTAATAATTCTGACTTTATCTGTAAGTGGTTAAAATCATTATTGGTAAACTGGTTATAGAATGATTACTAGTTATTCCTAGATGAGAGGCGGACAACTCTGGCCTTTGCGATCCTTTTTCTTGCAGAGAGAGAGAACACATCTAAACAAGCTAATACATTATTTAGGATTACTAGAATTGGGATTGCTTTACCCATTATCAAATTCATCTAGTAATTCCGAAACCCATGTTCAAGGAAAGCTCTGTGCTAAACCATCTTAAGCCTTATTCAAACTATGTGATTTTTATTGTTGATTACGATAGGGGTTCCCAAACTTTTCAGCTTGCGACCCCCAAAATAACAATTCAAGAGACTCGTGACCCCCACTATCCTTGGAGGTGGTTATAAACATACAATCATTCGACACAACCCATAGAAACTATATGAACAAGCTTAATGACAGCACAAAAAAGGTGCAACAGTCTAACAACCACATCATTTTTTATAGTCATTGTTCATTTAATATTAACCTCACTTAATGAGAATGGTCCAATGTTTACAGCGTGACACAATTCTTGGTTTAATTTTGGTTTAATTGTTCAGTTGTTGCCTGTAGTTTTAAAGTACATGAGTGCTTTAAAGGTGGCAAAGTTTAACATTGTGCCGTAAAATCAATCTGCTGCAACTAACACTAATGCCGTGTTGTAAATCTAGTATAATAACCCCAGGGGTCACAATCTAATGGGAAGAAATTGAAAGGTTGATGGCTTTTTATTTGCATGTTGTTTTTTATGTAACTGTTAAATACACTTTTTATTTTCAGTGGGTTATGGATAAAATATAGTCATTCTAATAGTTGAATAACATATATGATATTTTTAGGAATCACCAAACAATCAAAGAAGAAATCAAGAAAAAATTGTGTAATCTGAATGGGGCTTCATACCATAATAACATTGTATTACAAACTGAAAGGTGGATTTTCCATGTTCAGACCACAACATTGTCAAGAACATTTATACAAATCATTGAAAATGACCAAAACTTCTGTATTATACATGGCTGTTTTATAAACACCATGCGCCGGTGCTCATATGTAGTCTGCCATTGTTGTTCTGGATGTCAAAATCTCATGCATGACTATTGGCTAAACACCTACGTAATACTCATGTGCACAACTGCTATTTGCTCTGGCTAAAAAGTGACACTGATGAGTGCTGTGTTTTAACACTCGCTCAGCATGAATCAGTCCTGCTGGTGTTCTTAAAAACAGGGCGCTCCCTTTGAAAACAATTGAAAAAATATGCTCGTCTCTGGAATAAATGCTTTTGTAGACACACATGCTAGCTTCCAAAACAAAGCTTTCAGTTCAAGCTAGATCTACAAATACCCAGCAAACAATTCTGTGTTTAATAGACGTCTTATAGACATCTAAACGTAGACAGCGTGGCTAAAACTAGGCAAAATTGGGCTGTCAATGAAAATCTAATAGACGTCTAATAATAGCCCCAAACTAGACATTTGACAGACTATATATATATATGTGTGTGTGTGTGTGTGTGTGTGTGTGTGTGTGTGTGTGTGTGTGTGTGTGTGTGTGTGTGTGTGTGTGTGTGTGTGTGTGTGTGTGTGTGTGGTCATTTATTTCTGTTTATTTGATGACTTGTCTAGTTTTGGCCTATTCCTGGACGTCTGTTAGATTTTCACTGACAGCCCAAATTTAGCCTTGTTTTAGCCAAACGACTATGTTTAGATGTCTATTAGACATCTATTAAAAATCTTTTAAAAACGAAAAATGCTTGCTGGGCATTGTCTGTAATACTGAATGGTTTTGTCTGTAAAATAAATTAATAAACTCTTTTTTTATACAGTCTAAAACTTACACTGCTTATTAGGTATAATAGTTATGGTGACTTGAGAAAGCCAACATACTACTGTTATATTACATAAACTTCTTCTTCTACTGAGACTAATTTTTATTTGCATCTTCTCCTAGGCCTTTCATATTATAACCACCAAACTAACACCAACCCTCCAAACTGGTCTGACTCGAGTTTCTATTGTGAAATCTTTTCTAACTGATTCGACTTAAGGTTTTTAATTTCTGGGTTGACCCAGAAATTTCAGAAAAGTCTTTTGACTTAACTTTGGACCAAACTTTATGACCTCATATCTTTGCGCCAGACTGTCATACAGACGTAAGGTTGGGTAGTCTCATTTAACTCAGACTACCAATCTGCCAATCACTGTTGAACTTTCAACTTACTAGCCACACCCTAGCAATCACTTACGGCACCCTAGCAACTGTCCCATAGACTTCCATTACAAAAATCTTCCATTGACTTTACCTTGGACATACTAATAACATACCAATCCATACTAACATACTAATCATACTAGAAACATACTAACGACATACCAATCCATACTACAAACATACTAACGACATACCAATCCATACTAGAAACATACTAACGACATACAAATCCATACTAGAAACATACTAACGACATACAAATCCATACTAGAAACATACTAACAACCAGGGCTTTACATTAACACCCGCCAACCTGCCAAATGCGGGTAGATTTCAGCTTTGGCGGGTTAGACAGCCGCTCCCACTAGCCACTTTGGCTGGTTGGAAATAATTTTTTAAACTGTAGTTTTCTTAAAGCAGGGTTCGACAATAAGGATGGCCCAGTTTGCGTGCAAATGTTATCTTAGAATCGAGAAGCAGCACGACTGACAAAAATAACTGTGTTTGCGTGAGCAAAAGCAGGTGAACACCGTATGAGAGGATGATTACTCGTGTGCATAGGAGATGTGATGCGACTGTTAAAAAGTGCGCGCTTCCGTTTACTTGCGCGAAACAACCGTGTGTAGAGGAAGCGCAACTGGTGCGATCGGTTCTCTTTGAAATAGACTAGACAAAAAGCGATGCTCATGTAAGCAGCAAACCTTTTGTAAGCAGCAGCAGCAGTCACTGCTTTCGTTTTAATTATTCTCATGCACGTGATCATCCTTTCATTATCACTCGTGGCATGTTTTAACCTGCTTTCTTTTGCTTGCAGTTATTTCTGTTAATATAGTTTAATTATCATCCTTTACGATAACATTGCTTTAATATTAGATTAACTCCCCATTTGTGCAACTGGTGATCTGGGACAGATTATTTTGCATATTTTAGATACATGACAATATATCTTTTTAAATGTCAATTTAGAAAAAAAAAAAAGAAAAGTTTTGTTGAATAAAAAGTGCATGTATACAGCTATACATTTGCTTGTTTTGACACATTTAAAATGTGTGGCTAAGAAATAATTATATCTTTTTGGTGTGGTCAGAGATAAATTTGGTAAATCCTTAATTTTCAACCCTAAAAAAGTCATGTGAAATAAAAAACAATTGCAATGCGACACAACCCGTTTGCTCATGCACAGTGAGCAAGCTCATACACAACAAACACAAATAGTGAAATAAATGAGGAGGCATGTGGACAACACAACATCTAAATCAAGTCATTTTAGCATGTCAAAGTCACATTTATAGTTTAGCTAGTAATGTTGGAAATCTACTAGCCACAGTGGCTGGTTATCAAAAAAGTTAATGTCAAGCCCTGCTAACAACATACAAATCCATACTAGAAACATACTAACAAGTATACTAAAATTCAAAAAACATACTAACATACCAATCCATACAAAAATATCCTCACAAAATGCTAGAAACATGCTCCCAACATGCTAATTCATACTACAACCATGCTATTTTATGTTAGCAACTGCCTAGCAACTACTCAGAACATCTTAGTGTAATAACGTTCACGGCCCTTTGGCCGCCGGGAAGGAGGAGGCGGAGAACCAACGCAGTTTTAAAATATTTATTTATAACATGAACAGCAGCTCCTCACGGAGACTGCCGTCTAAACCAAAACAAACGGAAGGCAGCTCCTCACGGAGACTGCCGTCAAACTGAAAGCAAAAGTAAAATATATCCAGCCCCGGTCCTCTCTCGGCTTCCTCTGCCATCGTTTCTCCTTTTATAGTCCAGAGCTCCTTCCGTGGGATTCGAGGCAGGTGCGCACCGCAGGTGTATCCACTTACGCGGTGGCCTCACTCTGTTCCCACGTCTCTCGGCCACGCCCCCTCGCCACACTTAGCAACCGCCTAGCAACACCCTAGCAATGCCTTAGCAACCCCCTAGTAACACCTTAGCAACCACCTAGCAATGCCTTAGAAACCATCTAGCAATGCCTAGCAATGCCTTAGTAACCACCAAGCAACCACTCAGAACACCCTAAGCAACCACCTAGCAACACCTTAGTAATGACCAAGAACACCTGAGCAACTGCCTAGCAACACCTTAGGAACCACCTAGCAACACCGTAGCAATCACTCAGGACAACCTAGCAACTCACTAGAAATGCTCTAGCAACCCCCTAGCAACCAGTCAGAGCACCTTAGCAACCACCTAGCAACACTTTAGCAACCACCTAGAACACCATATCAACCGCCAAACAAGAATCATGCCAATCCATACTAGAAACATGCTGTCATATGTAGTTATCTATCTATAGCAACTGTTTCAAACTTCATTAAAGCTACTTTAATTATTTAAACTTTAAAACTACTTCAAACTTTCAGATGAGGCTTTCTCAAGCCACCATAAAGTTTGTCTACGAAGTTTACTTGTCTAGTTATTTAGTGTATCTTATCAGTGTAAAACTTGAATAACCATTGTCTTTCATAAGAAATAATATTTTGTTTCTGGTTCTTCACCTAACAGAGGGTTGTGAAGTGGGCCAGTGGAGTGAATGGGGGACCTGCGCCAGAAGAAACAAAACCTGTGGTTTCAAGTGGGGTCTGGAAACCAGAACAAGGCATATTGTGAAGAAGCCACCAAAGGACACAATACCATGTCCAACCATCGCTGAATCTAGGAGGTGCAAGATGGCAATGCGACACTGCAGAAAAGGTGAGGTTCAGCATATGTGGTTCTGGTTTGCTTATATCTTCGAAACAAGCTTTTGTTTACAGGGGCATTGATTTAGGGTCACGACCCCACCAATATCCCCACCAATAATTTAATCCACTTAAAAAAAATTGTGCTGTCAACATTAATCAAGACGCGCAGTGGCAGTAAGGGTTAAATCATGTTCTCTTCATGTTTTAAAAATCATGTTTTTTTGAAACTTAACCTTTTTGCAGTTATTCACCTAATTTTCGCCTGAAGAGGTATAAATATTGCATTTTTGTGACATTCTAAGAACTAGTTTTTGCTGCATTGTCTTGTCAGATAGTGATCATAACCTCACTTTGTAATGTACCAAAAAATATTTCCAACAATTTTTTTTAATTAAAAATTATTTTAAGTTTTTATTTACAGATGTGAAATTAAATTGTACGTTTTATATTACAGTTATATAAGTAATGAACTTTTTGAATAAAAAATATGAAAAGATAATTACTTTTAAAATACAAATTTATTATCATCTATAATTACATTTCTTTTGTTTTTTTTAAGAAATCGCCTACAAACTAAAAACAAACTGGCCAGCACATTCACCTTTCCTCAGTTAGAATTTGGCCATTTAATTGATAAAAAAAATAAATAAATTAATTAATAATAATAATCCAACTTTGGTCTTTCGAACCACTCATGCCCCCCCTTGGCTACAGGTCTAAAACTTAATAAATTTTATGAAGAGAAGATTTATTATAAATATATTTTAATAGCAGTTAAATAAATAATAGCAGCATCTATATACATTCTTTGGGGATGGGGGCTGTTGTTTGATTCGCCCTTCCCCACCAATGTCAAGTGTGTGTTTAGGACGCAGATCATTCATTCCATCTGCAAATCATCAATTTCATAAAATTTCCAAACCAAGAAGGAAATATCTCTGGGGTCTGTTCCTTTGCATCTCACCTGTTTAATCTTGAGCTCAGTTTTTTTGGACGGTAAAGCCGGCCGTCCAACCTCAAGCCCTCGATTTGGGTTTTCAGTGTCGACTGGCATTTTCATTCATGATTTATTAGTATTTTTCCATGCTCACTTTAGCCAGCTCAGCTTTAGGTTTTTTCACTCTCTTTTCTTGAGAGCGTATGTGTTCTCTCACTTATTCTCCTCTCCTCCCAGCGGAATTCCTTAAAGTATGAAGTGCAGGTTTCCTCAATGGTACTCTGTTTCCTTTCTCTATAAGAGAGTTATTTGCGGTAGGTGGTGCATGTACTTTACCACTAAAACGAGAAGTCAAATAGGAGGGAAAATATTTTTTGAGTAAATAGAGCCAAGGAAACATATTTTATAAGTGTTTAGTTTTGGAAGAGATGGGCCAAGTTTACTCGTGGAAATAATTGGCGTATTCAGGAGGGCTTATCAGGGAAAACTTGCTATGATAATTAATCGAGACGTTTCCCTGCCGCTTTTTTCTTCATTCAGCTCACCTGCACAAACTTAAATCTTTTGCGGTCACTGACTTATGATACTGTCACACAGGCGAGTACAGATGTAATTTCAATTTTGGAGGTCAGTAAAGGACAGCACATTCACATCGAGAAGGTTTTTGACTGATTGTGGAAAGGTTAATTGTCAACCCAGAGACCTGAGGCAGGATGAAGCTGAACTTGCTCAGTTTTCACTGTTTATTTAGGTTCCTCAGTCTTGCGCTGTATCTGAATTTCCATAATGTCCATCTCGGTATCAGGTCACAGCCACCGTGAGCAGTTTTGCTCCATGAGCTATTACCAGAAGTACATCACTAAAGCTGAATCCATTCATCTTCATTCAAGTCAGTTGAAAGAAATAAAAAATGACCTACATACACACTCTGACAGCCGCTTTAGAGAGGTGATGATTGAGTAAATATGTTTCGGACATGTCACACGGCTATTTTCCCCTTTTCAATGGTTGTAAGGTTGGAAATAGTGATTTTCTGGCAGGTTTTCCTTCTGTACCCTCTGCTGGCTTTCTCCACAGGAATTTTTCCCTCCCTAATTCAGCTCCTCCTGACCTTTTCCAGGAGTATTTTATAGTCTTCTTTAATTAAAAACTGGCATTTTGATGCATGTTTACTGGTCTCAATTATCTCATCTGAAGTCAGTGATTAGCAGCCTTTGTTAAAGTCTTAAATGAACATACAGTAGATCTGCCGCTTTGCTGTGTTCTTTACGGTTTCCATTAGAACACTTGTGGATTAGTCCTACATTTGTAATATGGCCAGTATGAGTCGTTAACACTTGAAGGAAATACTTGTATAGCATTCAAACTCGACAGGAAACGTTTAACAGCAAGTTGACCTAAGGACAATCAGTCAGTAATAATACTAACAGAATTTTGAATTGATGCAGGTATCACTGATTTTAATAAAAAGTTGATTCTAATGAAGGTGTAAAAGCTTTTGATCGATTCTGTTCTTTGAAGTTTTTACTCATTTTTGATCCAGTCATTAAAAGACCCAGTTCTCAAGCGCAAACTGGTCGTCTGGTTTGTTTTGATTTACTTAAAAGAACCAAATGAAATCAGAACTTTTTTCATCATGAAACATTATGTTTATAATTGAATAAAAACAGATTTATTAAACTGATTAAATAAGAACTGATTTATATTGATTATTGTGAGTTAATATGTTAATGAGTGAGCTACACTGGCTGCAGCATAATTAAGATTAATTAAAAGGAACAGATTCATAAGAGTGGGTCAGTCATACACTTGAGGTCTATTTTGACAATCTAGGTACAAAGTCTAAAGCAGTGGTTCCCACCCTTTTTTTGCCTGAGACCCCCTAGAAAATATTGTAAGGCCCTTCTTCACATTTAATGATATAATCGCTCATAAAAGTTTGCAGTAATGATGACAAAAAATTTTGTTTTCAAACTAACGGTATGTTTATTATATAGGTATAGATTTTTTTTTTTAAATCTAGATTAATCTCGATTAAAATGGCTCATTTGAATTCTGCCGAAGGCATTCAGAATATGTGTGCTACCCAAATAATAAGTCTTTGAGAATGGGTTTCTCTAGCCAGGTGGCGCATTAGACCAGGGGCTCATCTCCGGTTTCCAAAATGCATCACAAACTGCTTGAGACACTGTTCCACTATGATAACTAGTGATGAAAATAAATTATCTTTAATAAGATTAATTCCTTAATTTTCTTTTCGGATTAGTCTATTTATAAAAAAAAGTGGTTGCCACACCGGAATGAACCGCCAACTTATCCAGCACGTTTTTACCCTTCCAGCCGCAACCCATCTCTGGGAAACATCCACACACACAATCATACACTATGGACAATTTAGCTTACCCAGTTTACCTGTACCACATGTCTTTGGACTGTGGGATCACCGGAAGGACACCCACTCAAACGCAGGGAGAACATGCAAATTCCACACAGAAATGCCAACTGACCCAGCCGTGGCTCGAGCCAGCAACCCAGCGACCATCTTGCTGTGAGGTGACAGCACTACCTACTGTGCCACTGCGTCGCTCCGTTTTATAAGATAAACTCATGTTTACTCACTGTTTATTCAATTAAAGATTAAGTTTGAACTGTAGGCCTACATAAGCTCAAACAGCGATTTTTGATGACCTTAATCCAACTAAAGTCATAACTGAACTAAACAGAAGTTAAATTAAGACATGTGGAGTATGCAGATATTAGTGGCATTATTGAAGTAAACACCGCGGTCATTAGGACCTTTCGCCATATTTTCTGACAAGATTCACACGCGGCTGTCAGTAGAGGACCGCACACACACACACCAGGAAATGAAGTTTTTTTTCCTTCCATTTGGCGTACACTATTAAATTCCATAAAACTCTCACTAGTCCTTACTCCTTATTTGCGTCTAATACTCCAACTTGTCACAGGATAATAAATGAAATTTTCATGAGTTAAAGTGAAACTGACAAACTGCAATTAAAGTCAGGCATCCTGCTGATTCGATTCAAAAGGGCACTCTTTTGTCAGAAGACTCACCGGTTAGGTATACATCCGCGCTAATATATTAAGGTGAAAGTCATCATAGCTTGCATAGAATAGACCCAGCTCCCAACTCAACTTTGAGAATAGATTAACGGCAATTATTTTTTTTATCACACGATAAGAATCTCGCGTTAACGGCCCACCTCTAGTGTAAATATATATTTATTCAGTTTGTATATTCATTTCAGCAGTACTATTGTCCACTGCTAAGATTTTTTTAAATGTGACGCAAAGCTCTGTGGGGGACCGCGACCCCCCTGTTGGGAACCACTGGTCTAAAGTGTATTGCGCAAAAGCATAAACAGCGTGTCCTAATTTTGCTATTTTAGGGACGGAAAAATATGCTCTGTGTCTAAAAGGGTTGTGCTTATTCTCTTAATGAGTTGTGGGTGTGTTTTTTGCACAACGTGCATTAAACCAATCAGAGTCTTATCTCTTATCTTCCATGAGTCCATAAAGTGGTGCAAATGGATTTGCTATTTAAAAAATGTGAAGCAAAACGTAAAAAATTACTGTTGCGCTGGTCTGAAAATAGCAACAAATCATGCCATACATGTCTTGCGCCTTATTGTGCCAGGTGTATGATAGGGGCCTTAAATTGTTAGTTCACCCAAACCTGAAAATTATGAACAACTGGAGGGTGAGCGATTAATAACATAATCTTCATTTTTGGGTAAAGTAACACTTGTTGGCTTCTCTGCTTGCTTTGTATGCTTTGATTCACTAAAAAGAACCAGTTCAAAGGAGTCATCTGCTTTTGAATCTGACTACACTAATCATGTTATAGCTTGTTGCATTTAAGGTCAAGCACCAGTAGTGGTGTTCAGGAAAACTAGATAAACGTTGCCATAGGTTTTCCATAATTTACTATAGCAACAATGCATTTACAGTCAATGTTGTTCATTCTAGCACAGGTACTTCAGAGGAAATTTTGTGCACTGGTGACCAGGATGTTGCCAAAGCTTCAGGACAAGCATATTGGTGCTTGG